GGCAAACAGGACACAACTTGCTTGGCAGGCCACGACATTCTAACTGACTGTGCCCGGTTGTGTTTTCCTGCTGCCCTCACCCAGCCCCGTGTTACCTGTGTGGATCCCAGCCGTGAGCTCCAGCCTGCCCTGTGGCATGTGAGGGATCACCACCTGCCTCACAGCTGCCACCAGGTCCAGGGACATCTTGGCGATCTCGTCGGCGTGCCTGCTGCCATTCCTCTCTGGCAGGCCACTCACCACCATGTAGGCATCCCCAATGGTTTCCACCTGGTAGGAAGGGACAGTGACACTAAGTGGCAGGCACTGAGCTTGATAGGATAGGGATAAAATGTTTTTAAAATCATGGAATAATCAGGGGAGTTAGAAAGTGTGACAGTGTTCACAGGGGTCTGGGGATGAGGGAAGAGATGAGGATCTGACTCCATGTTTCAGAAGGCTTGATTTATTATTTTATGATATATATTACATTAAAACTATACTAAAAGAATAGAAGAAAGGATTTCATTTTCCTCCATAAAAGAATGCAAAACAATAAGTTATTTTTATAAAGTGCGTGAGAAAATTAATTACAAAAACATAAACATCAAAAAACTTAGAAAAACTTAAAAAATCAAAGCAACACTCGCCAAAATGTGGTGTAGGATGGCAGGTCTTGTGTTTCATGGATTTGAACTCCTGGCCGGAGTATTTGGTACTCAGCAGAAAACAGAGTAAGAAAGATTTCAGCAGTTTGCAGATCCCTCTCCTGTGGGTTTGTACTCACCTTGTACACATCATAAGACTCAATCCTGGTGTCAAAGCAGACGTAGAGGTTGTTGAGCATCTCCACCACTTGCAGGGGAGTACAGGAGGCAGCAATGCTTGTGAAGCCCACGATGTCAGAGAAAAAGATGGTCACCTGTCACAGGAGAAGGAGAGCATGAGGAGTTTGGGGATTTGTGAAATCCTGAGCCTAAGCCACAGTCTGAACCAGTCTCGCACAGCTAAGTAAAAACAACCCTAAATTAACAAGTTCTGACTCTCAATTTTTCTCTACTACTTTGAAAGATAAAATTATTCTTATCTCCAAAGCTTAGCAGCTGCACTTCTGTGAATACCTCATTTGACTAAAAGTCAAATGCTTTGAATCTTGTGAGTAGCAATCAAGAGACTTCTTGTAGAAGCAGGGTCTCATTTTCCTTTAAAAGTGATTTAAACTGTGATAGGGATAAAACTAGATACCAAAGAACCCTGTGAAATAAAATCTCAGTTGCTGGCTCCGCTCTTGTTGAATTAGAAAATATTAACTGGGTTTTGTCTCATTTTCAAATGGTGTTTGTCATGATCAAGTAATTTACAGAAAAAAAATCACAAAAAAAATCAAACATAAAAGAAAGAATAGAATTGAGGAAGAGAAATGTGTGCTGCAGCTGTTAGCAAAGAATTTTCTTCTCTGTGCTGTCTGAATTGTGTCAGTGTTTAAACTCAAATCATCCTTGCTAATACCAATTAATCTGGAGGGGCCACCTTTTCACTCTGCCTTGCTTCAGCACTTTTGATGTCATGACTATTGTGGATTATAATTAATTGTGCAATTACAGGTTGTTGTTTTGATAATGACACCTACAGATTAAATGCAGACATTTCGTACTGTATTTCACAGCTGAAATAAGGGAAAAAGAGAGAATAGAATTGCAATTATTGTAGCAGGAGGATTCAGGGCACAGCTGCTAAATTCAACACTGACAGCAGCAGTTATTTTATTCTTGATATTTTATAAGGAGGAGATTAATTTCTTTCTCCTATGAACTCATGATCCAGTGGTGCTGGCTGTTGTGGGAGGCTCCTAAACACCAGGACAATTTGCCAGTACAGGATGTTTGATGTCCAGAGCTATGAATTTGGAAATCTCAGCTTCTCTTCCTTCCCCACCAGCCTGGATGCTCCATGGCACGCTGCACAGCTCTTTCCAAAATCCATTGGGAATATTTGGATTTCCATCCACACCGACTCCGGCTGCAGCCCCAGGATGCTCAGAACTGTGACAAGGTAGGAGCCGTTTTAGGGAAATAAATACTTTTCTACCCTTGGTGGCAACATCCTTTGCACTTTCTCACCTGATCATAGTTTTCTGCCTCAACTTTTTGGCATTTCCTGAGCTGCTTGGCCACAGACTTTGGCAGCATCTGGTGCAGGAGGTCCTCAGCCAGGCGCCTCTCCCTTTTCAAATCTTCTGTCTTTTCCTTGAGGTTCCTGGCATAATTGTGGATCCAATCTGTCATCTGCTTGAAGGACACCAGCACAGTGGGGTAAATGAGGCAGGCAACCACCAGCAGAGTGATCTTGAGGCTGGTTGTGGACAGGATTTCCCTGGATTTCCTGAGCAGCTTTCCCTGCCCCTCCTGCAGCACACAGCTCTGTGCGTGATGCAATCCCCTCGCCGTGGCTTCCAGGGACACAAAATCACCCAGGAATGGGCTAAAGGAAGGGATTCCTTCAAAATGGGTGAAATGCAGGGACAGATTGACATTGTCTGTCCAGCACTTACGTGCAGTCTCTGAGGAGAAGAGAGCATAGCTCAGAGTGGCAAAATGCTGATGCAGAGTGGTTTGGAGGCTCACAGGGGCTGGCACTGGCTGAGATTTGAGCACAACTTCTCTGATTTGGAGCAAGAGTTTGAAAGCCACCGTGTCTGCCCAGTCAGGATTGTGTCTCATGGCTTGGACATCCTCATGGGGGCTCCTGAAACGCTCCAGCAGCTGAGAGATGGCTCTGGACAGCACCTGCCTGGCCTCAGCAAACCCTGATATATTCAATTTGTGTCTCAGGTCAGCTGTGTAAAACCTACAGATGGAGATTTTCTCCTCCTTGCACTGGCAATCCTCACAGTACAGCTGTGCTTCACTTGCCATGCAGAGGGAGTTTAAATTGCCCAAAAGGTGAGGATGGGATGATGTGTTCCTTGCTGGGATGGGATGATCTGCCCCCGGGAGCAGCCAGCTGTGCCTCTCCTCCTGCAGGACAGAGATGAGGTGAGCAGCCCAAAGCTTCTCACAGGAGGAAAGCTCCTCAAGGGCTTTGCCTGTGTCTTTCCACATTTCCAAGCTGTTGCTCAAATCAAAAGAAATGGCCCCAAGGAGGCTGCAGAGGGAGACCACGCATGCTGTCAAAATCCTTTGAACTGTTTTTCTACCACCAGCATTGGAAGAGGGAAAACACCTGAAAAAAAAGAATTAAAAAAAATATTTAAAGAAACCAGTGGCATTGTCTGATCTTAAGAGTGTTTCTTCCAGCTCCTGTAACCACAACTGTGTTTTTTTATATATCACTAACAGTGATATTTAACAATTTCAATGCATTCTGAAACAAAGCAAAAGGTTTGTGCCAGCGTGGCAGCTGACAGTGCCCACTCTGAGCTGAATGACTGAAAAAGGAGCTGAGTTCTTCACCTGAATGACTAAAAAAGGCACAGCAGGGCCATGGGGTAGACAGGTCAGCCCTCAGAGCTGGCTCCTGCTGTAAGAATCCACATCTGGAGGGGCTGTTTGGGGTAAAAAGAGGAAGACTGTGTGGCAATAGGATGCAAATCATATGAACAGCGCAAATTACCAAACACCCAGCGCGAACAACTAAATAACTATTTAGTGCCATGCAAATACAACAGCTTGCCCTTGCTAGATCCGAGATGCCAGGTGTAAAAGCTCTCTGTAAAAGCATCACACTCACCTGCAGGGAGCCGCAGGCTGCTCTGCTGCCTTCCCCGCGGGCATCCCCAGCTCCAGCAGTGCCACCCCAGCCTCAGGCTCCTGCTGCTGCCTCTCTGCGCCTCCTCCCGAGCCCCCGCAGGTGTTTTTGGTGATGCTCTGACCCTTCCCCCTGCCCACCCTCTGCAGAGGGGTATCAGAACCCAGGAATTCCTCTGGCTGCCCTGCGTGATTCAAGACCCTGGCAAGGGGCTCAGAGACCTTGGCACAGAGTCAAAAACACCTGTGCCTTTGATTTTAACCCATGGAAACAATTACTAACTTTCTGTGAGGATTTACAAGTCCCAAGAGTTTGAGTAGAATGATAGTGAATTTGTCACAGTATGAAAAAGTAGAATTTTGGGGTTTTAAAATGGAGGTTCAAGAGGCAAGATGGAGGAATCTGGGTGTATCCTGTCCTCCTTCTCCTTCTTCTTCTCCTTCTTCTTCTCCATCTTCTGCTGTGATGGTGGCACTTCTGGTTCGGTTTAGAGCAGAGGCAGAGTGTCTAACATAGGTGATAGGTGTTAGGAAAATTAATCCACAAACACCAGAGGTTTATGTCCAAAAAGGAGACAGAGCAGTCCCTTCCGGCCTTAATCCAAAAAAAGGAAAAGCCAAGGGAAAATCCAAAGGGAACCCCCCAAATTTTGGAAGAAGCAACCCCCCTTTTTATCCCAATTTCCCAGCCACATTTCCCTTCTCTCTTTCCCCACTGGCTCAGGTACTTGAGAGGTTCAGACTTCCCAAAATACCTGATACCAAAGATTTCCCTCTAATGTATAACCCTTCCTTTTCATTTTTAATTCTAACTGAATTTAGGGATTTTTCTTCCCCACTGTTTCTTTCATCTCTCAATGTCTAATTTCATTTATCAGCAAACCTAAAGTTTATTTGTAAAAGCAAATATCTTTTTCCATTCATCAATCAGTGGAATCCTTCCCATTGTTTCCTTTAGCTTCCAGATTATGGTTTTATCTACCAGCAGACCCACAGTTTGTTTGTAAAGACGAATCCACAATTCCTCTTATAGGTATTGGAAAATTATTGTAAATAAAGTACACGTAGTTTTTAACGCCACCCCAAGGGCAGGGACTGTGCCACAAACCAACATGCCAAACAGATCTCAGCAGGACAGGGAAAATACCCAGTGTTATCCCCAGATATGGGCTCTGGGCTTGCCAACAGTCAGGAAAAAATGACAGAGACACATTTGTTTTTATCATGCAAAAAATGCAGTTTATTTAACTTGCATTTGGTTTAATAACTGTATTGGTAAAAGTGTAATTTCACAGGAATTTTTGATCAAAGGTCATTTGGTAACTGTCATCCAGGTCTCAGTGGATTAGTTGGTTGCCATAACCTATAAAAATGTAAAACAATTGAAAAATCAGATCATGAGCTGCAGGAATTTGTGAACAGTATGTGCTGTGTCCAAGTCACAGGATTTAAATAAGTGAAATTAGATTTTTGCTTTCTAAAGTTCATATTAAATTAAAAGATGTTTGACATTCCAGACTTAAGCTGCATGTTCTACCCTTTAGGATGCAATTGCAACAATCAGTGCATTGATGAATGCAAATCTGAGAAATCGCTTCTGAAATAAAGGGTAAGTCTTTGTGATTGCAATAGAGCTCTAGGACAAAGGGAGAATGCATTCCTATTACCAAAACTTATTTGAATAAGTGAAAAAATATTTGATATCTCTTTCAGAGGAGGATACTTTGAATTGGTAATGATTGAATCAGGAGTGACACAGCTCCCTTAGCACAGGGCAGAAATCTCAGTGAGAGAGCCCCAGCACAGCCAGGTATCTGAAATATATGGTAAATTTTTATGACTACAATATAGCTCTAGGATAAAGGAAGAATGCATTCCTACTACTAAAACTTATTTGAATAAATGAAAAAAAAAAATTTATCTGTTTCAGAGGAGGATACTTTGAATTGGTCATGGTTGAATCAGGAGTGACACAGGGGAGCCTAGCTGGGGACAGAAGTCCCAGTGAGGATTTCTGCCCAGCCAGCTGTCTGGATGCCACCCTGTTTTTGAAGTTTTTGTGCAGCAGCTGCTCACCTGCTCGATCCAGCTGTTGTAGGCAGAGACCCTGGTGAACACAGAGGGTTTGCGGTAGTAGTTGCAGCTGATGGAGGAGCCGAAGCTGACGATGCCGTGCACTTCCCAGGTGCCATCAGCCCTCTGGCAGTTCAGCGGGCCACCAGAGTCACCCTGGCAGGAGGGGGAACAGAGCCAGAGTGTCAGCAGCTCCTCTGTGGGGTTTTTGACCTTTCCTTCCCGTCAGGCCTGTTTGCTCAGTGTCAGCACATTTCTCCTCGCAGAGAAAAGCAAGGCGCGATTCTTCCCCAGGATATTTCTGGGTTTCACATTCTCTGAACCTCAGAGAATGGAAAAGCAATTCTTATCTTTTGCTGTGCCTGTGTTTGTGCAAAAGTAGGATGCAATATGGAGATTGTTTACCCACAGTGATGGTGTTTTGTTTCCTTGGCCTGTCAGGGCCAGGTGTGTGTGTGTGTCAGGACTGTCAGGACAGTCACGAGATTCTGTGCAGTGTGTGCAGAGTTAAGTGCTTAGCAACTTCAGTTTAGATTTAATGTAATATAATATAGAATAATATAGTGTAATAAAGTACTTAATTAGCCTTCTGATAAGATGGAGTCAGATGCATTATTCTCTCCCCTCATCAGGGATCCCTGTGACGGTGGTCACAGGGGTTTTCAGGGTGAGAGAAGAGACGAGAATGTTGAATTCATGTTCAGAAGGCCTGATCTATTATTTTATGATATATATACTACATTATAACTATATTAAAAAGAATAGAAAGAAAAGTTCTCAGAAGGCTAGCTAAGCTAAGAATGGAAAAGAATGAATAACAAAGATCTGTGTCCTGGCAGAAAGCGAGAGCAGCTCTGCCGTGAGTGATCAGTAAATCCAAACATCTACAAGAGACTAATCGTGGATCCACCTGTTGCATTCCACAGCAGCAGATAACCATTGTTTACACTTTGTTGCTGAAACTTCTCAGCTTCAGCAGGAAAAATCCTAATGAAAGGATTTTAATGAAAAGATGTCTGTGACAGATCCCAAACTCAATAATCTAAACCCAAGCCCTGAGAGTGGACTCACGCTGCAGCTGGAGATGACTCCATCCCCACCAGCACAAACCATGGTGGATTTCACAGTGGTTCCCCACCAGGAAGCGCTGGAGCAGGTGGCATAGTTCACCACCAGCAGACGGCCTTGCTGCAGCTTGTCAGGAAGGGCTCCATTAGCTGAGAGAGAGCAGAAACACAGAGTCATGGTGGCAGCTGGCACTGAAGGGAGAATCAAACTGCTCTGCTAAATGGTGTCTGGGTGCCATCACTCCAGGTAAGGCACTCCACAGGGGCTGTATCAAAGGAGAAGCTGTTATAGGTATGAATGTCCCTTAGTTCCGTTCTTTCATATACACCTTCACTCACTAAAAATTTGCATTCCATCAAAAAATGTCTCATTGTTAGAGAAACAAAGAGCTGCTCTATTTTCAGGAGTCTGCAATTTACTTATCCCTCAAGGAATTCCCCCTTGAGCTAAGCTGACACCTCTGCTCAACTCTGGGATTTCCTTCACTTCACATCGATTCCCCTGTGTGCTTTCAGATATTCATCAGGTGTGTTGGGATTAGCAAATGCACCTGTCTGCACACTATTAACATTTGCATTACAATAGCTCCTAAAAGCTCAATAAAGGCCCCTCAGGTGCATTACCAACTCTGTTACAAGGAAAATAAATTTCAAAAAGAAAAATCATAATGTGTGAGTGAAGTGGGGCCTAATATAATAAACTACCTCACTACACTGAGTTTTGAAGGGACGTTGAGCACCATTAACAGTCTTTGCCATCAACCTCAGATGAGAAGGAGCTTCTGAAAGGTGTTTTTGGTTATTTCATGGTTTTGCAAATGGCCAAATACTCACTCTGCAGTCTTCCCCAGCCAGTGACATAGCAGGGAGTGTTGGAGGACAGGATGGTCTGGGCAGCGGGCAGGCAGGCCAGCTGGATCTGGTCACTCAGGGTGACGTGCTGAGAGAGCTTGATCAGAGCAATGTCGTACCTGTGGTCACATGCACACATTGGGGGAGAGAAGGGGAAGGTGAAAAGGTTTAAAAAATGGATTAAAACACAGCAGCCTGAGTACTCAGCAGTTACACAGCACCTGGCCTATGTCACCGTGGTATTTTCTGAAAAATCCCTTTGCCAGGATTCTTCTCCTGGGAAGCTGAGATGCCTCAGAGAAAAATGTAAATAATAATTGTCTGATTGCTTCTCCTGTGTTTGGCTGCTTTGCAATGTGGCTGGGGGTTCTTTACCGACAGGTGAATATTTGATTGGTTCCATGTAAATTTTTAATGAATGACCAATCACAGTCCAGCTGTGTCAGACTCTGAGGAGTCAGTCACGCACTTTCATTATCATTCTTGTTAATAATGGGAATGATTATTAACAAGGATGATAATTCTGATGCATCCTTCCCTTTCTTTAGTATAATTTTAGTAATAATATAATATAATACAATACAATACAATATAACATAATATAATATAATATAATATAATATAATATAATATAATATAATAGTGCATTATTAATATAATATATTATGTACTAATAATATGTGATATTAATATATATTATTATATTAATATAATATAATACAATATCAGCCTTCTGAGAACATAGAGTCAGATTCTCATGTCTCACAACCACCACAGGCCTATTCAAAAGAGAAGCAAGGGAGCAAAAGGAGCAGTGCACAAACAGCAAATATTCCTGCACCCCAAAGCAATTAATGGGAAATTCATGGACTGGAAGGCTGTTCCCTGCAGAACTGCCTGTTTTCCTGATGGAAGAGAGCTGTCTTTTATAGTTTTTTCACCAAAACCATGTTAGGACTCCAGTCTAAGGACTGGAACTGAGGGGATTTCTTTGTTACTGCCCTTAGCCTGCAGCAGGACACAGGGGTCCTTCAGCCACATGGATATTAATTTTCATAATTCTGTGTATCTGCTGCTGGTAGGAGGGCTTCAAAGAGTGCTGTATAAAATCCTTCATTCCCTTTCATTGTACAAGAGATATCACTGCATGTAACAGCTTCTGACCCAAGCATGAACATGAAAAGGCTTCTGGAAACATTATTAATTAGTAAAAAATCAATATTGTTAATTGCTTTGTATTTTCTGAGGGGGAAGGTAGAAACTGGACTTGAACAGGAGGCTCTAAACATGAATTTAATTACCATAACTCCAGATGGGTGGGATTCAGGCAGTTTGATTTTTACCCTCCACCTAAAAACTGAAAAAATACCTTCCACCAGCTTACCCATTGGCAACATTATTTGAATTCCAGTTCCTATGGACAATGATCTTTGATGGAGAAACTGCAACTGATCCTGCTTCCGTAGCTGCCAGGTTGTATTTTCCAATAAACACTCTGTAGGTCAGAGTAGAGCTGGGCAAGGAAAGGATGAACACTCAGTTATGTGATGCAGCTGCACCTTTGGCTCCTGGGAGATTCAATGAGAACACCCCTGACTGCAATCTCTCATCACAGGCAGGTTTGTCTGGAGATGAGCCAGTGATTTGCTAAGGGCAAAGATTTTGTTCTGGACTTGATAATTATTTAATCTCTGAGCTGTCCTGCTCAAGGCTTCTTTAATAATCTCAAGGTGCCTCCAATCTTTGCAATATTCAGCTCACATTCTTCAATGCAGTAACAATTTGGACTTTCTTTTTAATAACTTCAATAATAAATAGCTGTGTGACAGATAGAATATGCAGGATTTATAATAATAACATGCAGCCAATCCTTCATGTTTCGTATTATATATTTATAATATTTGCTACAATTTAATGTTGCAATAACCCCAGAGCAAAATGGGGTTCATTTGTGGAAGCAGCTTTGATAATGCAATGACATTGCTGTACCTGATAATTTGTTTTCCACACAATATGAAGAGTTTACTGAAAATTATTGGTATATATTCAAAATATTTGTGATTATTTCTTCAGGGAGTGGATTGATTAGTTAACTTGTGGATCTCACTGACATATATTACAGAAACAGGCAACACAGCTGAATTTTAATAGCAACTTGAAAAGAGAAAGATGTTTGTAGTCTGTTTATGGAAATTAAGAATATATAATTCAGGTAATTATATATTCTGGGGGTTTTTTCCCCTTTTATATTAAGAAAATAAAGAGATGTCATTCTTCTGACTTTTAATCAAAAGATATGATGTAAAACTCAGAGCTTTCAACTGGGAAAGGGAGAACTGACATTGATATGGTTTTCACTCATCTCTTTCTGCTCAAGTGCTGCTTCCTTGGTCAGATTTACCTTCATTTTACTCACCTGATGCAGTGGGCAGCTGTCATCACCCAGTTGGTGGCAATCAGGGTTCCCCCACAGGTGTGACTCCACTTGCCATTGGAATAGTATTGAAGGGAGACCTGGGATCAAGGAAACAAGTGAGGTTCAAGCTTTTACTTACTCATTTTTCATCACTGTGCTTTGTTCCCGCACCCAGAACACAACTTGCTGATGGTGGAAGGCTTTGGAGTTCCCAACTCCGGGCTACAGAAAGGTTTTTCCTTCTTCCCTATCATCCAAAGCTTGATTTTTAAAATACATCTTGCTTAAATAGCCCGAGTCTACTTGACTTAAAATGAGAGCCTGCAGGAGTGTCACAGCACATGCCGCAGTCAGTAGGGCCACAACACAGAATTTCAGAAGATTTAAGGTTTCCCCCCTGTCAGTAGGGCCACAATACAGAATTTCAGGAGATTTAAACATTCTCCCCTGTCAGTAGGGCCACAACACAGAATTTCAGAAGATTTAAACATTCTCCCCTGTCAGTAGGGCCACAACACAGAATTTCAGAAGATTTAAACATTCCCCCATGTCAGTAGGGCCACAACACAGAATTTCAGGAGATTTAAACATTCTCCCATGTCAGTAGGGCCACAACACAGAATTTCAGAAGATTTAAACATTCTCCCCTGTCAGTAGGGCCACAACACAGAATTTCAGGAGATTTAAGCATTCTCCCACACACAGTAACATCATTCCACATCGTTCCACTTCAAGCATCTGCCCATACACAGTAACACCATACCACATCAGAGAGCTTCGAGCTTCTTGCTCTTTAGCCCAACCTTTTACCCCCCTCATGTCCATGCATTGCACCCCTCTGTTCCCTTTGGTGGTTTGTCAGTCCCTGGGCACTCCATGGCTCACTGCCTTCACTGCTGCTCACCTGTTTTCAGAGCTGAGCCCCTGGGGGATGAGGCTCTGCAGCAGCCCCACTCCCAGTGACCACAAACTGAGCACCTAAACATTGCCAGCAAAATGCAGCACATTCAGAGCTTTTTAAAGAAGATTGAAAAGTTTAGGATTGATCAGAACAGAAAAGACAAAAGGTGTCAGGCAAGATGCATCAAATGGGATTTCAGAGGTGGTTTTGCTCAGTTCAGTTGTGCTGTGCAGAGGCAGCACAGCCCCAGCAGTTGCAGGGAAAGCACAGAATCACCAACCTGCCAGGGCCAGCTGTATGGCCTTGCATCTTCCCCTCCAACAACTCTGGTCACAAGGGGTGGGTAGGAAGGAACCCCGCAGCCAAAGGCTAGAAGACACACAAATAGGATGAAAGAAGGTTTAGAAAAATATCTGTAACATATCCAATAGCACAGCACCCAGTTATTCTTTCAAGAAACCCTTGTAATGAACATCCTCTGCTGTATTTTTTCCTTTGAAGCAGAATGTTCAATTTGTCTAAAAAAGGAAAGTTCGTTTTAGATTTTAATTTACTTGATCATTTAAAATTAAAGCAGAGGTTGGACACGTACCTGCAGAGGCCAGAGCTAACACAGCAAAGAGGACTCCAAGCATGGTGCCAGTTCCTGGTGATGGAGGCCGCAGGTTCAGCTCCACTCCATTTCTTATAGTGTCTTTTATCTCTGGAACACATGACTTCGAGTGCAGCTCTATTCCAATACCAATGGAAAACTTGTATCACTGTGAGATAATTCTTCATGTACATAAAATCATCATTTAGATGGACCTTGGATACAGGCTATATAAACAACTTGGTTAAAGATAATTCTAAATGTGATGCTTATTATCTGTAGCAGCTGTGTGAATTTCCATTGCCTTGGAACAAGGTGTTCACAGAAGGACAATGTTAGATTAATTAATCTAACATTTGAATAAGTCAGCAGTAAGTTCTGATCTGTTGGGACAGTGACAGATTTGGATGTGTTGGTAGGGGTTGCATTAGCTGATCTCTACAGGCTCCCCTCCTACTTTAGTTATTGTACAATTATACAACTCCTTGGGATTTTATTTTGCTTTGGGATCTTGGTTTGCTTTTGTTTAGTTTTGTGTGTAACTGAATGTTAGCTACCACATTGTACTGACAGAAAACATGTATTTTCTTTCCCAGATCAAGTTGCAATGTGCTTCAGCATGCCAGACTTCTTCAGCAAACCAGACTCCAACCACTTTGAAGTGGAACTGCAAGCTTTGAAGCAATGCTTCAAGCCATACAAAGAAACAGCTGTCCATGAAGAAGCTGAATTGCTGGTATGCTGTGGTGAGTCAGACTCCATTCCTTCCCTATTTCCCTTTGTTCCCTGAAGAGAACAGGGTTCCCTGCAGCATTGCAAGTGAGCCTGTGCACCCCCAAAGCAGAACTATAAAACCCCCAAAGCAGAACTATAAAACACTGTGAGCTTGTTAAAGAGAAGAGCAAAGCACTTCCACTCACAGGACAAAGCAGGCAAGAGCAACATTTACACCATTCCAGAGATGCTGCCACAAAAAGAACTGTCCTAATTCATTACTGACATTTGAGACCAGTGTCTAGATATCAATGCTTTCCCTTGTCCCTTTTTTTCTTTTTTCTTTTTTCTATTTCTTTTTACTTATACTACAGGAATATTCCGTCCTCTGTCATCTTTCCATCCACCAACCATTCTCTGGTTATTTAAAAAACAAACATCTCCATCCCATAAACCAGGACACTCATAGAAAACCAACTTACTAGAATGGAAACAAATATCATAATGTCAGTTTTACAACCAGAGTTGTGTTGTACACAGACACCAAACAAGGGGTTCAAAAATGCTGAAATAAATCTGATGTTTAATGTCAGGATTAATAAACAGCATTATGAAAAACCTGATTTCCAGAGCTCCCATTCAGCAGTAGCTGGATGAAAGATGCCTGGAGCACACATGTGGAAGGCAGGAATATAGAATGCTTTGCTGTTTTATCTGCTTCTCAATAATGTATTTTCCTACCCAGACAATGGCACTTGAGGAAGCTGCATTCTGAATTGCAAATTGGATCAACCAAACCCTGTTCTGGCATCTTGTATTTATTATCTGACAAAAGCAGAAACCAGGATGAACAGTGCAGAATTGAGATTCGAAATTTTTTTCCATTCATTTGTTGGCTCTTTTCTTAGTGTCTGTATTTATAAGCTAAACAATGTTATGCTGCTCAGTTTATCTTCCATGTCACTGTCATTTTCATGAATTCCAACTAAAAGTATAAATTTCAGATGGTCAGTTACTATTTTAACTTGCTTTGTTTGTTGTGTGCTTGTAAATGTGGAATTTTGTTTAGTTCTTTAAGCATTTCTGCATTTCACAAATATAATCTGCTCTCTTGCATACTGTAAATAGAGAAACACTTTATTTTCCCCCTTCTTCATGGAGCAATTCTGAAAGTTATTTTATTATGGAGGAAATTCTCACAGGAATCCTAATATATTTAATGTAAACAAATATAACCTTCTGCACTCTTGCATACTGTAAATAAACAGTGTTTCTTCTTCCTCTTCTTCATGGAGGAATTCTGAAACAGTTCTTTTGTTATGGAGGAAATTCTCATAGGAATCCTAATATATTTAATGTATTTCACAAATATAACCTTCTGCTCTCTTGCATACTGTAAACAGAGAAACTCTTTTTCCCTTTCTTCCTGGAAGAATTCTGAAACAGTTCTTTTGTTATGGAGGAAATTCTCATAGGAATCTTAATTTATTTAATGTAAAACACTCTCAAAGCTGTTTTGTGTTTTGCTTTTTGTTCTGTTCATGCTTTATCCATCTTTTCCAGGCCTGAACAGTTTTCCTTGGGCTCCATGGGTGTCAGGCTGCTGGCAATTCTGCCAGCAAATATCAAATGGCTCAGCCTTCAGCTGATACCATGTTGGCTTGGAAAGAACCCCCTGGAAGCTCTTATCATCTTCATGCCAGATATCTCACAGAAACTAAGCAGCTCAAGGAACTTTGGTGAGAGAGAGAAGGAGCTTCTGGTATGTTCTCTTAAAGCAAACAGTAAATATCTCCCTCAATACACAATGCACAGTGTACAACTTAAATGGACTCTGTTGCTTCCTTATCTTTATTCCCTTGAAGGGCAGTAACTCTGTTTTACTAATTAGTAAATGAATTTTCTGCAGAAAAGTTTGACACTGAAATCTGCTTTCCTGAGGGATGTTTTTCATCTGCAACCAGACAGTAACCCCTCTGAAAATCTGAAGTTAAATCCTGACCCAGTTTTATCTTGGGACCACCAACTGTGCCACATTTATTACTTGCAGAGTGGGTGTTAAATGTGCTGCTTGATGATTCCCTGGGATCATTTCTGTGTTCTTCAAAGTAAAGCTTGGCCTTCATTCCTCAGGACAGAACAAGGTTATACTGAGCAAGGAAATGGAGATGAGATTTACCCTGTGTGTTTCTGTCATTTGTTGTGCCTTCCAAATTGTCTTATATCCCTTTATATATTATTTTCCACACTGTATTTTAGTCAATACTGGCCACAGATGTAACATAAGGCCCTGCTTATCTCAGCTGGGTGGGGAGCAACAGCAGGAGAGAACAGACACAAACCCAACAAAAACCCCAACCACACTTGAGCAGTCAGATTAGACTGAAAGATATTTATTTAGAAACAACAGCTTTGGTATTTTAAAACCAAACAACCTGTAAGTCACTAGAAATTGGGGTGTCTTCCCCCATAGCCAAAACAAATCAATGCACAAAGTCTCAATAGGCTTAGAATAGGAGACCTGCAGATCAGCATTTCCAAGTGCATATCCAGAAAACAATTTCATTAAATTGATTTTGCACTCTACAGTCATAAAGGCTGAAAAACCTGTTACCAGAACTTATTGACAGTTAAGACTGTTAGATATTGACAGTTCAATTGACTGTTACTGAAGTGGAGGAAAAATTAACATACTCCCCCTCCCCCCAAGCAATAAATTACAAACTGTATACCAGAAAGGAAGTTACACCAAAGTTTTCTAGTTAACTCTCAGAAGGGAATCATTATCCTTTATTTTTCTGTAGAAATAAAAAAAAACAAAACCAAACAGATCAAAATATCCAAGGTCTTAGTATATCTTCAAGTATTTTCACCAAATAGATTACTCCTAGGGAACTGAACAGCTTACAGGGAAGGACACATCTGTTACACAAGCTTCTGGGATAAACAGTTGAATCACCACACCTTCCAAGTCTCAGATTCCTGTAATAGCAAGGCACAGAAGGATTGTTGCTTTCAAATGCTCCTTGTTCTCAGCTGCAGTATTGCCAGGTGTCTTGTGCAAATGGAGGCTGAAAGCAGGACTAAGTTCACTTGGACAAGGAATGGAACAGGGTGTTATTTCAAGACCATCTATCTTGCTTACTGCTACAGATTCTGAGCTCCAGCTGCTCTCCACCTCTTCCCTGTCTCTGGAATGAAGTTCTGCATCACCTTCATTTGAAGTAGGTCCAGCTGAGAGGAGGCAGCAGAGCTGTGTGCTCTGCAGTGCCCGGGAGGATGAGGAGCCAGGTCAGCCCTGCTGTGGCTGTGCAGCCTCTGGGCACTTCAGCGGGCAGAGTCGGGGACAGCCACCTGCAGCAAGGGTTAACAGGTCACTGGTAAAGGCAGAAGGCAAATCTTGGAGATGACAAAGGCAACTGGATAGACAACAGTGAAAGGACACACATAATTCCAAGGACACATTTCAGGGGTGTTACACAATAACTGACACCACCTCCTAACCCCTTCCTCCCTTTGCACTGAGGTGCTGATCATGATCAGAGGCTTCTAACTGCACTTGTCTGATTTACATTTCTATCCTACCTCTTCCTAGGTCAGTTTGTCTGGCTACAAGCACCTCCCACTCAATCTTTTATTGGATCAAAAGTATTCAGACCTGCTTGGGATCAGGCTTGAACTCCAGTGCTCAAAATGACAAAACCAGTGAGCTGACAGGGAAACTTCCAGCTCACTTTAAAGACCCCTTACAGCTGTCAAGTTTAGTTCAATACCTTCTGTTCAGCCTTAGCTATCCAAAAATCAAATTTGATTTTATAATTTGGAATAACAGTACAATCTATGGCTAGAACTTTTCCTCTGACAGCTGTTTAACTATCATCTCCTTGTTTTCTAAATGAAACCTACATTTAACTCAGTTCAGCCCTCAGGAGGGAAGCCTCTGAACAGCACAACTAGTTCACACAGCAAACCAATCTGGTCTTGCATTTCCACTTCATATCAACACACAATCAGAAACTCCCAGTACTAAGAGCAGAACTCACCATCTACTGTCTATTCTGTGCTAAGCTTTTACAGCAAATAAGTTTTCCAAGGCAACTCAGAACAACTTGAAATTCTTTACACCCAGGTAAGATGAGCTTGGAGCTCTGGCTCCAGAGCTTGGAGCCAGGACCTTCAACTCACAGTAAAAAGCACTCAGGACTTTCCTTAACACAGCTTTGCATTTTGTCTGACTGGGAGAAACATCAAATCAGCATCCCCCCAAAATGTTGGTGGTGAGTGTGGTGTGATGGAGGGCTGCACAGTGTTTATAATATAAACACCTACTATGAGTCCCAGCAAGTCAGCAGCTTCACCTCCAACACCAGCCTGCCTTTGGGTGCTGCTGTGGACACCTCACACATTCAGAGCAGGCAGGCAGGTGTGCAGGTCTCCACACAGCAGTACAGACAAGAACAGCAGCTCTCTCACGTGCTTTCTGGATAACAAGAATCATCATTTCATGACAACTGCAACTGCTGGCACAGAAACAAGCCATGTCCTACACTGATGTGTGAGAAAAGGACAGAAAGCTGTCTGCCTCCACCTGCAGCCTCACAAATGTCTAAGGACAGACGATGAGTTTATCTTTTATCTTTTCTAACGATTCTGAGCCCTACTGCTCCAATCCCTGCCCTGATCCTCCTTGCAAGAGGTCACAGATTGCTTGTTTCAAGAGAGACTGAAAATCCTCACAGTCCAAGAGAGAGCCTGCCCAGGCACAGCTGACACAACATCAGGCTGACAACACTCAGTGGACAGCAGCCAAAAGCAGCAGTTTTATACCTTACTCCTGAAGAGGGGCTTGGCTCCCGGCCCACAATACTCGTTGTAGATGAGTTTGAACAGAAACAAATGAAACAAAGTAATTAAGGAGGCCACACTGAACCAGAACAGGAAGGGTAAGCCTGGGTATTGCTTGGCCATGTGTTCCTCATGAGCTAGAATAGCTTTTAGGTGGAGTGTGTGTCTCAGGTCCTGCAAGTGGACCAGATCTGTAGAGATATAAAGCAGTGGTGTGATGGGCTGGGTCACCATGACAGGGAAGGTGTGGCCTCGTGCCTCTGAGGTGAGCTCCACGGGCTCGTTCATACAGCCTGCCTCACAGGCATACAGTCTGACAGGCTTCTCCTGGAACTTCACAGACACATGCAAGAAGGGCTTTCCTTCAGCATCCAGGAGAACAGCTAAACTGATCAAGTCCTTGTTGTAATGGATGCCACGTAAGGAGTAGCTGTTATGGAGCACGTCAGGGTCAGCCTGGAACTGAAGGTGGTTTTCTGTGAACTGCAGACCCCCAAAGCTGAGCACCATTCCCTGCATCAGCCCGTGCACTCCAGCTGCCACAAGGCCCCTGCAGCCCCGTTTCTGGAGAGTCAGCTTCCACAGGTCTGAGAGCTGCAGGATCTGGGTGACACTGGTCAGCCTGGGTGGCCACAGGTTCTGGGCGTGCATGGTGGCGTGGCCACTGAAGCAGTGGTCAGCATAGTTCAGGCTGGCCTCAATCCTCTCCCTGTCCTCACCAGCAAGGAGAGGGTCCAGCAGGGGGGCTGGCACAGTTGACAGCACGTAGTAGAGGGTCATGTTGACAGTCTCACTGGATGGGGTGTGTGCATCTGTGATCTTCCTCATTTCAATCCCTGCAGCAAGAGAAAACAATCAATAGTCAGGAATTAACAAGGAGGAGAAGAAGATCAAGCATGCACACTGATGTTCAATAGGGTGTTCTTTATACATAAAACACCAAAGTGTGTTGCCCAGGTTTTTTAAGATTTTCTAAGCCTTCTGATGTTTACATTCTTGTAACGAACTTTCTCACACCCTTTCTGTAAATAACTCATTGTTTTGCATTCTTTTATAGAGAAAGAGAAATTTGATGGACTGTAGATTTGTCCAGTGTCATTGGAGAGGTGGCACTGTTGCCCTCCAATCCACTGTCACTTTTAGAAAACTATAAATGTTGGAGTCAGAAAATAAACTTCCCTTTTCTTCACCTTGAGAGCAGCAGTGTGTGCACTCCTGTTGTTTCCCGTCCTATAGTAACAAAAGTGAAATGTTTCCTTGTGTTTGTCTAAGAAGATACTCTCTCTGCTACTTGGCAGTTTGAGAGCCAAGCTCTCACTAAAGACAAAGCTAATTTAATATACAGACAGGCCTGTCATCATGACTCTGCAAGAATGATCTGTCAAAAGAACAGAATCCTTTTATAAAATAACAAGTTCAACGTTATTTGGTCAGCTACTCTTTTATGTAAGACATTAAAATCTCAAGAAAAAGCATCTTTGTAGAACAGCTCTTGACCTCCATGCAGAATCTGCCTTTTATGCTATCACTAAAGGTCACTTTATTCCCAACTGACATTCAGGCGAATCGGTGAAGTTCCTGAAGCCATGAAAAGCAGCACACACAGAATAATGATTATAAATGTTTTTTTATCACTTTCTATACATAGTCAGGTGTACTCCAGTTTAAGATAAGCTGGATTCCAAACCAGAAACACTGTTTTACTACCCCACAACCCATCAGGAAGATCAGAGCCTCTGGAGACTTTACAGCAACCAGGAGCTTTCAGACACCCTCTAAAGCAACTCCACGGAAGCCGAGCATCACTTTCCTTACCTGAAATGAACAAGTCAGACCAGGTCTGCTGGTGCTCCTGGAAAAGATCTTCCACCCCCATCTGCATCACCTCCAGCATCTCTTTCTTGGCCGCCTCCCTCAGCTTGCTGAAGGTTTCCTCCAGCCTGGACACCTCGATGGGCTCCGACGTGTACACCACGGACAGCAGGGTCTCGTCAAAGTGCGACTCGGGCGCGACCTGCACCCGGCTCACGAGTTTCTTGGCAGCCACCACCACCAGCACCACCTTGGGGCTGCCGGCCAGCAGCAGGCGGCCGGAGGAGAGCAGGAACTGCCGCTCCTCCACC